TTTTTCCCTCTTCCTTTTGAACAAAATTTGAAGGAAATTTTGTATGCGAATTTTGGAAACTTTAGACCAAAATATTTGGTAAATTTGATCAAATACTGTATATTGCAGTAGAGTTTGTCTCCGGCTTCAACAAAGAATTATATTAGTTAGCTTTTACCATTTTACTATAAAGTTTAGTCAGCTAGTAGAATTAATATAAATAGTTTTTCTTAAACTTAACATATTGAGTTTATGAAAATAATTAGAATATTCTAAGTTCGAATCCTCAGAATTTTGTTTTACTTTTCAATTCCCATATTACATTTTATACTTTCATTTCAGTGCAATTTAGCAATTAATTGCTGAGTATTCGAGACCAGAAAGTCATTTAATTAGAGAAAGAATTAGCATAGAACTGCAGGAGTAAAGTATTAAGTCATTATTCACTAGTAACTTTAATCATTCACAATATCAAACTAATTGTCATAGAAATGATGGCCATGCCTGTAAGCAGCTAGCATTTAGTTTGATCGGACAATTTTAAAGAAGACAGATCAATAATGCATATTGAAATAACCAATATTTATTTCATTCAATAATTTATGTCTCAGTGGCTTTAGTGGCCACTTTTTGTATAAATGGTAAGATATCAGTTGCAAGCATTGCTCACCGCAGTATACTGTCGGCCTTTTGGTTTAGTGCATTGAGAGAGTACTGCGCCTGTGAGAAGGAGGGAGAAAAAATGGCTGCTGATAATCAGACCATTGATCTTGAGAAACCATTGATTCAAGTCTCTAAAGAATATGTTCCTGATTCCAATGAAAAATTCAATAGAGATGATATGTTTGCAGAAGCAAAGAAACAAATATTCTTAGCAGGACCAATGATGTTTGTCAATCTTTTATTGTCACTTATATCAACTATTTCAGTTATGTTTGTTGGTCATGTTGGGGAATTAGCTCTTTCTGGTGCATCAATGGCCACCTCCTTCGCTTCGGTTACAGGCTTCAGTTTGCTGGTGAGTCAATTAGATAGTACTCGACAATATTAATGTTTTTTCCATTCCGTGACACATAATATCTAGACACGTATCAATCTTGACAAAAATTTTACGACTTTCCAAATCCAGGTCGGGATGGCGTGTGCATTGGACACGTTTTGTGGGCAATCATACGGCGCAAAACAGTACCATATGCTCGGTATACACATGCAGAGAGCGATGCTTGTTTTGCTCCTCGTAAGCATTCCCTTAGCCGGTATTTGGGCAGCCACAGGACACATTCTTGTATTACTCGGACAAGATCCACAAATAGCAGCAGAAGCCGGAACTTATGCCCTTTATATGATCCCTTCCATTTTCCCGTTTGCGCTTCTTCAGTGCCAATTCAGATTCCTACAAACTCAAAACAACGTTGTACCAATGATGCTAACATCGGGGATAACAACATTGTGTCACATACCAATTTGCTGGCTTTTGATTTCCAAATTAGGCCTTGGAAGCATAGGGGCTGCCTTGGCAAACGGTATTTCGTATTGGACTAACGATCTTTTCTTGGCCCTTTATATCGCATTGTCACCTTCGTGCAAAAACACTTGGACTGGTTTCTCAAAAGAGGCGACGCGAGATGTCTTAAAGTTTCTTTGGCTGGCAGTGCCTTCTGCCATTATGGTCTGGTAATATAGCGATCCAGAGTTGAATATTTCTCCGATTTCAATGCGAATTATCTACTTGGAAACATTTATTTGATCAAAATTTATTTTTGCAACAGCCTGGAAATTTGGTCATATGAGATGATGGTTCTTTTAGCAGGTCTTCTCCCAAATCCAACACTTGAGACCTCAGTGCTCTCAATTAGGTTAGCTATTTCATCAACCTTTTAGTTATTTTTTTCATTTATGCTCATAGTTCCTCGCACATGTTACTAACTCGTTACATTTTATTGCAGCCTCAACACAAATGGCATGATTTACATGATACCCCTCGGACTCGGAAGTGCAATAAGGTGATCTATAATAACCAAGTACTCAATTATTACATGCGTGAGTCATCATTTTCGTTCCTGTTCTTCATTGTATTTGTTTATCATGCTTAAATCTTTTGATCCACAGTGTACGGATTTCAAACGAATTGGGCGCTGGACAGCCTAAAGCAGCTCGACTAGCTGTATTTATGGCCGTTTTCATGGTGGCTGCTGAAAGCATTGTGGCAGTGGCAGTAATCATTCTCGGACGCAAGATTTGGGGATACTGTTTTAGTAGTGAAGCACGGGTGATTAGCTATGTTTCTGATATGATGATTCTAATTGCTGTGACCAATTTAGTAGATGGAGTTCTATCTGTCCTCAATGGTATGTCACAAATACTTATATTCAAAGAATGAACAGTAAAAAATAAAAAAATAAAATCTAATATTTTGGATTTAACGTTATATGACATAGACAACAAAAAATATATTCTAAAGAGAATCTTGATTTACTAAAACTGCAGGCATTGCTAGAGGATGTGGATGGCAAAAAATTGGTGCAGTTGTAAATTTGGGGTCCTTTTATATTATTGGAATCCCACTGGGCATATTGTTGGCATTTACCTTACATCTTGGAGGGAAGGTAAATTCACAATCCCCCTGAGCATATTGCTGGCATTTACCTTACATCTTGGAGGGAAGGTAAATTCACAATTTATTACTCATGCTACCATTTTCTTTCAGCCATACTTTACTTAAAAAAACCACTTAGGAATGTTTAAGAACCGACGAAAAACCTTTAAATAAAAGGGGACATATATGCAAAACCTTTCAAGGGTACCCGTACCCTGAACGCACACATTGTGTAACTCGTTTCTGCATATGGTGCACAGGGTCTCTGGACAGGAATCATAGCTGCAGTTTTCGCGCAGACATTTTTCCTGTCTATCATAACCTTCCGGACTAATTGGGAGGCCGAGGTAAAATTTTGCTACTCTTTATAGTACAAGTCTAATAATCGCAGTGCTTAGATGAGGTGGTTCAAAAGACGGCAAGGATAAATTTTAGAGTTTTTGCTCTACAGGCAAAGAAGGCATCCACTAGGGTTTTCGACTCGACAATCCCCGTTGTGGGATAGAACCAGAAGTGGTGAAAATGGCAGCTCCCTGAATCAGATGTACATGAAAATCATTAATCTTGGTCATGCATTAATTTGCCAAGTGAAAGAGGTGATCCAGTAAATGGCTGCTGTTGGGTGCAGAAGATCTTGGAATTTTGTGAAATATTATTGTTCCTGTTGGTGCTGAGGAAAATAGTTATGTGTAATATTGTGGTTGCTGTTGGGAGAAACAAACCCTGGAACTATGTCAAATATTTTGTTTGTGTTTGTTTATTCCAATTGATTGATTTCTTGCATTCACAGTAAGATTTTTTTTTTTTTTTTTTTTTAAATATCCAAAGCATTTTACAACCTAATTACCTAACTATGGAGAAGTAAATAAGAAATTAATATATATATGCAGTCTGATTGAAAGGAACTAAATGTTACAAGCTAAACTAATTCAAATTGACCAAACAATTCTCTGAAAAAATTCAAAAGCTATAATTAGGAGTGGAGTAATCAAGTTCTTTATCACTTAGGAGTACAAATGATAATCTACTCAAAGCACTGCTCGTTTTTTGCTTAGAGATCTCATCCTTGTGAGATGCTATGGATCAAAAACGCACTATTCGACCTATAAACCTGTTACAACATGGATAGAAAGCTATATTTCAGTCTCAATCACACAATTTCAAGAACTCTTTGAAAACAATTAGGAAATATCAAGAATGATGGGATCATGTATGCCTTAAGGGATAAAATCTCGCATCCAATAAATATAAAAATACAGATCAACTTCTGGAGACTTGAGCTACTCCTCTTAATTAAGTTAACACTTTAAGATAATGCAATAAGTTTTATTATGATATCAGATCTCATTAAACTCAAACGAACAATTCAATCCGATTAAAACTGAAAAATGAGTACGAAGAATTTCAAAATTGGCTTGCTTAAATGAACCATTATCTTGCAGGATCATGCTAAGAGATAAAACTTCATGTCGAATAAAGATGAAAATATACTAACTTATAAAGATTTGACCTGCTCCTTTTAAAAAGATTGACCTTTTACTTAGGGATGTAAACGAGTTAAGTCGAGCAGTTTCGTGAACTGAAATTCACAACTTGAGTGTGGCTTGAATAATGATGAATCGAGCTTTTTTTGCCCGAGTGGAGCTAAGCCAAAGTTTGACCGAAAAATGAGGATTGGCTCGGCTTTGATGGCCTTTTTTTTTTTTCTTCAAAGGAAGCTATACAACTACCTTTAAAATAGCTAGCTGCGTAAGCTACCTTCAGCTACTTTCAAAGGCGGCTATACTTGAAGGTCGCTGAAGGCAGCTTAAAGCTCCGGGCATTAACTGTAGGCAGTGGCGGATGTAGCTATTGGCCAGCTAGGGCTGCACCCTAGCTGGATTAGCCAGAACCGCCAACCGTCGGCCGCCAAGTTGTTGCAGGGTTGGTGGCTGCGCACAGGCACAGCAGTCTGCAGAGCGGGAAGCCGAACGGAGAAGAAGACTCCTAAATTCCATTTCTTTTTCTCCGTTTGGGCTATCTAATTGGAGATTGGGTCTTTAAAAAAAAAAAATTACGCTCAATTGCCCAAATAAGGAAATTGAAACCAGATCCAAGCCCCGAGGTCCATGGCATTGTATTAATTTGATTTCTCATTCCCCCAAACCTCCATTTGAATCCAGCAGCCAAGTGCAAATAGTAAACCCTTAAATTTCCATTTGAAGCAGAGTTGTAGCAACTGGAGGCGGTGGCCGTTGGACTGTGTACTGCCAGTGTGCGAAGTCAGGGACGATTCTCCGATCGACAGAATCCAAGGACTGGACTTGGACTCTTGGAGGCAACTGGTGAGTTGAAATTTGAATAAGTTGAAGTCTTGCTTGAATACTGCAATTTGCAAACCCTTTGATGATTTGTCGATTTGTGCAAACTTGTTGTTGATTTGTCAATTTGCAATTCAACAATTCAAATTTATTTGTCGATTTGCGCTTCTGCTGTTGTGCAACTACAATTGCAAACTCTTTGTTGTTTATTGGGTATGTTGATGGTAACTTGACTCTCGACTCTTGAGTCTGTTGACTGACTTGAGTGTTTTTCTTGTTTGATGCAATGATTTGATGTCTTTTGTGTTATTAGTTATAATTTATTAATCGGTCGACATTCAACTAATCAATGTTTAATTCATATAGAAAAGGAAATTAGGATTATGGAGTTGCTACTAAAAATTGTGATTTTACTCAAAAGTCTCGGTGGAGTTACATTGGTTCTTTTGTTGGATCAGTTGCACTTAAAACCTATGTCAACTGATTTAAAAACTTATTTCCCTTACCCCAATTCTGTGGATTTTCATGTATTATCCAATAAGTCTCTCTATAGTGTGCTGAGACTTCTGATAAATATATTTATCAAACCACAACTTGTCCTTTCCATTCCTATTTTTCCTGATATTTTTATAAATACTTACCAGATCCATACCAACTATGTATATGCAATAAACAAACTTCAATATTTAGGCATCTAAGCATGACATGTCAGCTTGCTTTCTTGCCTCCCTCATAACATTGCCATAAAGCTCCCACCAGCAATCAGCAGTAGATCCTAACCTAATATCCTTCCACAAATTTGATTGTATTGATAGTTTAGGCCTCCTAGAACTTTAAAGTCTGATCCTTCTATTGTATTTGCTTGAATCTTACTGTCTTAGACGACATCTCCCTTATAATCAGCATAAATATCCATCTCTAGCCACAAACAATTTAGCATTATAGTAGAGTCTGCCAATATAATGACAGGCTTTATCTCAAGAACTTGATACATCGCACCAAAGTTGGGCATCAATGCATCATTCTCCCCCACTAGTATTTCATAGTTGATAAGGAAAAAAATAAAACTATAATATCTAATTCCATGGTGTTAACTAACTAGCATATAACCATAGAATTCTTTGCATAACAAGTCGAGAAACCCACTTCTATAGCATCTAATAGACCCATCTTTCTTGTACCATTTATGAGCAGCTTCACCACCTAAGAACTAGAAAAAATTCTTTCCATTTAACCTGGATAGTAATATCAATTGGTGCGCTTCAACTTGAGTAAAAAATGTTTTCAAGCCAAGCCTTCAACGATCAATAGTCAAAGTCAATCTCCGCCCTAGCTAAATGTGGATGCTAGATTTGCCCCTGACTGTAGGAATCTTATTTTCAAATGGTCCATGTAGCTGTGGCTAACACGGGTTGCTCCATGTGGCTTGGCGAGTCACACAAGCCGACTCAAGCTCGAGCCAACACTTGAAAATGAGGCTTGGCCCAAGTGTTGAACCGGATCCAACAAGTCACAAACCGAGCTAGCTTTAGCCTTTTCTCTGGCTGAGCTGCGGGCCACTCGAACCAATAAGCCAAATTGAACTACTTTTATCTTTCTAAGATGAAATCACAAGTCTTAATAGTACATTGAACTCCAAATTGAGATTAACTCATTTGTACGATGTTAATCAATCTAACAAAACTTTCTCATTCGAGGTTGCTGCAAACTCCTTGAACCCTTTTCCTCCTATCCATTGTTTAGCCCTTTGTAGTCTGTAGATTCTTATGAATGGTCATTGCCGGAAATTATGGCCATTAATTTTTGGGTCCATTCTTACGTTATATGCGTGGGGTCGTACATAGACTGGTGGGTCATATATAGCGTGGTGTCTAATTTTATTTCCTTGTGACACACTACATAACATTTACTTCTCCAGACCCTAAGTTGAAATCTAACATATTCAACTGTTAACGCCTTTAGACTTGCGGCCATTTCTTGTATTGTTCAAGTAGTAGAAATCTTTCTGCAATGGCGACGACAATTCACCGAAGAACCTCCTGTAGTTAATTTTTTAGGGGATTCTTCCTACTGCCTCTTAGGATTAATGTCGCTATCCTCATGATTTTCCCTTGGAGCCCCCTTTATTGTATCTAATGCTTCCACCTCGATCGAATCTATCTCTGGTGGGCTCCTTATGCAAATAGTTTTGTGATGACTTTTACTTGATAATCGTTGAGATCATGATTATCTTTATTTTATATTTTTTTTTACAAACGATGCCAATTTGTTGACTTTCAAATTAAAATTAACGAATAACTTTCACCTAATCAGGATTTTCCCTCATAAACTAATGGTATCAAACATGTAAGTAATGATCATGGACCATTTAAACAACGTCTTGCTGCTGAGTTACAAGTCAAACTCCCACTCAATTATAATTATTTAAATTGCCTATTTCAATTAAAAGAAAAAATGAATTGGTATATGAAGAAGTGTCCCAAAAAATTTAAGTGAAATAACTGTTTCTTTTCTTCCTTTCACATGAATTATTCCAGTATGAATCACCTAAATGAACAAAAATGTAACAAGAATAATATTCAGGCCGAGGGTGAATTATAAAAATGGATATTTAATTTCTTGTCTGTACTAATTACGAATGAACGGCCAATTATCATTTGCTTTATTTTTAAGAATAAAATGAATGGAGATGAGGACATTGTTTACCTAGTTTTTTCAGAAAAGAATACTATGAAAGTAATTTGTCTCATTGAAAAGGGACAAATTCCTATTCAAAATCAATGGGGGCACAAGATATCAACTAGATTCTTGATATACTAAGTTAACATTACACTTTGAATAAGTTCAAACCTTAGATTTTAAATTTCTAATTAAAAACTTATATAAATAATAGTATATATTATCATTTTTGTGGCTCGTACGACATTAATTTGATCACTAGAATCTAAATTGAAACCATGGTGATCCAATAAAATAATTAAATGGCCATGGTACCCATGGATTTGTTTACTCACAAAGTTGTCATTAATCATCGAGATGCTAAGTATATTTATAAAGCATCAGATCGAAATAAAAATGATGTAACATAGTCACTTTTCGGTCTATAAATGGGACCGGATTGCAATTATTTAACAAGGCATTGGTACGAAGATATTATTAAATATAATATAATTCAAGACCTAATTAATTAATTATTGATTAATATTTCTAGTGGAGTGTAATCAACAATTAAAAACTATTTGGTGTCTTTTTGATCATTGTGGTTTCAAATAAGTAATTATGAAAGAAGATATTTTTAAAGATATAACTAATTAATTAATTCATCTTTGCAGTTGTCAAAAAGGCGGCCGTTGAAATTTAAAAATGAAAAATGAAGTCCCATCTAAAAAGTAGACTTGACAATTGTTTTAGGCAATCACAAGACCTTTAGTTAATAAATAAATCCC